AGAGTCCCGAACAGAGCCAGGCTGGGGGGTGGTCACTGACCCGGAGGGCGTGAGACAGCGCTGAGTGCTGGAAGTGCTCCGTCTTGGTGGTGCCGGCCGCACTGCGGGTGAAGTTGGTGGAGTTGTGCTTGCCGAGTGTACGTACCAAGAGGTTACAGGTAAAAAGTAATGAAATCAAACATGAAATCCAAAAAAGGTGTCTACTTACACAAGTATCTACTTGCTCTAGAAGAGGACGTGGACGGCGTGTGGCAGCTAGGGAACGGGGTCCCATTGAACAGCCCTGGCCCAGGTCGATGCCCTGAAACCACCTTTTCTTTGTTTTGGTTAAATTGTGGCAAAAATGCACACATCATAAATTCAGCAATTTGGCCACTTCAGAGTGTACAATCCAGTGGCATTTAGTGCGTTTCTGTGTGGTCTTACCAGCCCCTCCCTACTTCCAGAGCTTTTGAATTGCCCAGAGGGACCCTGTGTACCCTTCAAGTGATCACGTCTCACCCCGGACCCCGTGGCAACCGCGGACAGTGCACCCGTTTTGTCCATCGGCGCACGCCCCCCTGCCCAGCGGGAGCCGGGAAAGCCCAGCGGAAGAGGCACTGATGGGCTCCTCCAGGGCCAGGGCCAGGTGTCCTCACGCGGTGCCAAGCTTGAAAGGCAGTGGCCAGACTGTGATTTGTTAGCTTGTGTTCACCCCGTGTGTCCGGGAGGAACAAAACTACCGCGTTGCAGCCTGTGAAGGAGACTGAGGAGGGGACAGAAATCTGGACCACTTAACTGCACCTGAAGAGCCCTTACAGCTGGAGCGGGCCCTCCAGGGCGTGAGGGAGGGGCGACTGGAGCCCTGACCCCACACTGTGTCTGACAGTCAGCACCCTCGGGCAGGCAGAGTGGTGCCCTCCTCACCCAGAGCAGAGTGACCCGAGGGAGAGAGCCCTGGACGGGGCCCTGCGGGGGAGCAGGTCTGGGGAGACTGGTGCGCAGAGGGTAGGTTCGGCCGTGGTCCTCGCAGACGGCCTTTCCGCCACCTCCTCAGGCCCTCACCCGGTCACTCACCTATGTCCCCAGGCTTAAGGTGGCAGCAGTAAATGCCACTTACTTTTCTGGCCTCAGCAGCCCTTAGAAATGCAGCATTCGGTGGGAAAATGCTTCGTAAACGGGGACACAAAATTTCAGTTTCCAAAGAATCAGAAATACTCATTCAACACAACAACATTCTAAAAATAAAAGGAAAAAAATGATTTCTTTTCCCCTTTTCTTGACTTAATTTTACAGCTTTTATTTCAGGACTGAGTTACTGTCCAAAGACACCATTTGCATTTCTAGCTGGACTGGAAAAGCAGAGAATGGAGCATGGTTTTCCCCTGTGGAGAGAACAGAGTCTCGGTGAGAGCAAAGTTAGCTAATATTGAGCGTTTTAGGTGCTGAAGGGGTTGGATTCCATTCAGATGGAAGGTGCAGTCATTCTAGGTGGGGTTGATGTCTGTCTGAAAATGGAGACATGTGTGGCTTTCCGTCAGGCAGTCATAGATCCTTAGGTCCCCAGGCCCCCCGTTCCACCCGGCAGCTCTGCCGGTGGTGAGGCCAGCTTGGCTCCGGGGCTGCAGGGCTCTTGTAGCAGTGTCTGCGCCGAGGGGCACGGTGCGGGAGGGGCACCGGGTGGAGGAGGAGCGACCCCAAGTTTCAGCCTGCTCGGAAGCCTGGGGCGTCTGGGTGGAGACCACAGCTCCCACGGGTGTGGGAGCACAGGCGCGGGGATGGTGTCAGCCCGAATTCTGTCATTGCTGGGGTGCGCAGATCTGTGCCCTGAATTACCCCCCCACCCTCTGCAGCCTGCCTCAGGGCTGCCCATCCCGCCAGAAATTCCCGCTGCTTGGGATGTAGGGGGAGATGGCAGCTTCCGGGAGCAGGGCCAGGTGGGGAGGGGCAGGCCTGGGGGCTGGGGCTCCTGTCTGTATTCGCTGAAGTTTCCACGAGGTCTTTTGGGCAGTGGCGTTTCTTGCCCAGAGATTAGACTGGCAGTCACAACACACGTGGGGGCAGGCAGGTGCCCTGAGAGGGGACGTGGCCCAGTGTGATCGGGTCTTCTGAGTTTTCAGGAGAAGTAGGGGAGCTCTGGGTTAGAAAAATGTGAAGTCGCTGTTTTTAAAGGGCACCTGTAATTCAGAACTTAAACATCGCTGTGTAAGGAGAGCAGTGCCTCGTGCTGACGGCTCCTGGCTGACGCCGGAGGGTCAGCTCCCAGCCCAGGACACCGCGGTCACCACCCCCAGGGGGCCAGCAGACCGGGTCAGGGATTTGTGCTGGGAGACAGCGGGAAAGCAGCTTCCAAGAACAGGCTCAGAAGATCCCTGACAGGTGGAAATCATGTCCCGAGGCCTTTTCTAGGCGTAAGTGTGAGTCCGGTGGCGGGAGGTTAGGCAGGAGGGACCCTCTGGGGGCTGTGCTGCCCTCGCTGCTGAGATGACTGGTGGACGATGTGTGGTCCCACCCCCAAGCTGCACTCACCACCCAGCTGTCGACGGTCCTGCCAGAGCCCAGGCTGTCCCCTCACTGCTGAGATGACCAGTGGACAGGTGTCCTGGGCTCACACACCTGTTTAGGTGTCATTTAGAGGGACTGACCTGCAGTTGAGTTGAAAACTACCACATTTAAGTAAGAAACAACAAAGTTCCCAAACTGTGGATGGCAGAGTGTTTCTGTTGGTGGAGGCCCCCAGTCTGGGTCTGGGGGTCAGAGCCCTGAGCCTGCCCTGCCCCTCAGGCATCATCATTCCTTCCTCCTGCCTCCTCTTCCCTGAGGCGTTGGGAGCCCTCGCCTGGAGGTGACCCCACTGACACGGGGCAGCCAGGCCAGCTGGATCTCCAACAGCCCTCCTGGGGCACAGATGGCCATGCTGCTCCCCACGCCAAGGGCAGTGGGCTTCCTCACTGGGGCTGAACCCAGCGGTGGCACTGAGACTACCTGCAGCCCCTCCCAGAGGCAGGGGTCCACACATGGCTCTTCCCGGCCACCTTCAGGTCTGGGTCTCCTGGCAGTGCTCGCCCAGAGCACACGGACATTGTGACCAGGGTGGCTCGAGACGGTGGCCTGACTCCTGTGGTTAGGAACCGGCTTTGCTGTTTCCGGGCTGTTTTATCACATTTTTTAAGTGCTGCCCCTTCCTTCTGTTAGTAAGTTCTGTGTTCAGAGATGAGCCGGCACCAGGTTTGCTGTCTTTATCCAGTCTACCAGCCGACAGTCGTAGTGAGTACAGGGTCTGCGTTTTGGAGATGTGGTTAACAGGAGGGAGTCACAGAAAGATGTTAACTATTTGGCTCTTCGAATGAAACCAGAGTTTACTTTTCTTTTTCCAGGCACTTATCCATCCATCCATTCAGCAAAGAATCAGCACCTGCTGTATACCAGGCGTGGCTTTACCTGCTTAGGAAAATGTCTCCACACACGAGGGAAGAGAACGCGTCTCTCTCCTGTTCTGAGACAAAAAGGAGCAGTCGGGGGGAGCAGCCCCAGCCTTTGGCATAAGTGACCCACGTGAAGGACAGCTCTGTTTGAGTGTTGTCGGGCTGGGACCAGCCCAAGAGCTGGAATAGCGCCCCGGCTCGGCCATGGCAGGGCCCCCGGCTGCAGGGCCCGGCGGACAGTGTGGCCAGGGCGGGCTGCCGGCCCTGCTCCCAGCCCTCCTGGCCTGAGTGGCTTGTTGACGTTGGCTCAGGTCCACTGCTGGCTCTCTGCTGATGCATCATCGTGGCAACCAGGATGTTTCTGTGACCGTCTGGGTGGGGCCAGGGGCGGGGGTACGGAGCTCCCACAGCAGCACGGGGCAGGTCAGCGTCCCAGCTGCTGCTCCTGTCCCAGAGAAGTGTCAGCCACTACTGCTAGTGTTCTCAGGTTCTTTGGAGAATAAACAGGAAGCAAATCCCAGTTCTGTGTTTTCCACCAATGACCATTTCCCATAAGGCTTTCAGAAAAGATTTTTGCCCTACTTTTGAGAAACACAGGGACTTGCAGCTAAATATTCCATTCGTTGCAAAGAAAAATTCCAGTAGGAAATCTGGTAAGCCCTCATTCACATCGGGAGGGTGTCAACCGGGAGGTCGGTCGGCAAAGTCAGGCTGGTTTGAGGTGGAAGATTTGGGGGCCTGCAGATCAGTTCCAAAAGTGGGCGGGGGGCTGAGAGCCCCTTCAGACGTGGCCTGTGTGCTGTGGCTGCGCGAGGTCAGCTCAGAGACCACACGGGGACCCGCTGCCGCTCCTGTCAACCCCCCAACCCTGCCATCTCTGGAGAAGCCCACCGGCCACTCCCCCGCTGTCGTGCTTTGGGGTGCGTCACGCTCCCTGCATGCACATGTATGTGCACACATGACCTCTCACACCTGCCAGAAGCCTTCAGAAAATGTCTCTGGACATGTAATAGCAGACTTGAAGCCTGGCTTGGATCACACATGTCTTCTCAGACTGGCTGTGTTCTCATGTGCTCAACTCCCGTGCAGTGGCGTGTTCATGGCATGTTCATGGCGTGTTCAGGCGCATCGCACACAGCGTCACAGTGTTCTAGGGTCATCGTGCTTGTACGAAAACATGCATCTGTTTCTTGCTCCTTCACCAGCTGAGAGCCTTTGATGATCCCTTGATGATTCCCCAAAGAAAACGTCCCAGAACCCTTTGAATTGGAACATTCGAAGGTTCGAAGTTCCCCCCAGAGCTGGAGGAACCTTGGAGACAGGGTGTTCTCCTGCTTTTCCAGCTGGGGAGACAGAGGCTAGGGAGGCAGGTCTGTGTCCCAGCCGGTGCAGGAGACGGCCGCAGGTGCAGGTCACAGCTGGCGCTGTTACAATCCTAGAACACTTTGGTGCATCTGAAAACACTGCCCCCCCGGCCCTGTTATCGAGCGACTTCTGTTAACTCACTGTCCTACTCTGCATCTCAAGTGATAACGTTAATGGAAAGTTAGAAGGAAAGGCTTCAAGCCCTCTGTGCGGAGCTCATGGCATGGCTGCAAGCGAGCAGCATGTGCTCGCTGGGGCCAGTGGGGTGGCTGTGCTGGGCACCCAGCTCTGGTGCTGAGCTCGGTTCTGCTTTGGTTCCTGTTGCTGTTTTTCCTTCTCTGTCAACCAGAGCAGGTCTTCTGGCCTTGAGTGGCGCTAACAGGTACGGTCAGTTCGCTTGGGTGGCTCTGGCGGTGCTGGGTGCTCGACCCCGACGCCGTCCCGTCCTAGTGCGGGGGCGGGGGCCGGGGCGAGCTCCTTTGAGGCAGTGCTTCCAGGGGGCTTCTCGTCCAGGGTGAAAGCCCCTCCCCATTGTGCCCCTCCCCTGCTTAATCCACAAGCTTAGCGGCAGCTGGGACCTGTAGGCTCCGCCGGTTCTGGCTCCGTGTGGCTGTGATAAAGGTCTCCCTGCGGCCAGGCCCTCGGGCTTCGGGGTGGAGGGAAGGTGCGGCCCGCAGGGCTCCTCTTACTGGCTTGTCCTCACTGGCTAGTCCTTCTGTGTTTAAAGCAGCTGGAGTTTGTAGTTTACTCATCAATGAAAAAGAGTCCTCCTTAATTTCTGCATAATCTTGACCTAATAGTGTCAAATTCAATGCAGAATAAAAAGGGACCTGGGGATGAATAGATACGCAAAATGTTAGCCTTGAAAGGAAGGGACTCCTGACTCGGGCTGGAACACAAATGAGCCTTGAAGACATTGTCGCAGGACAAACACGTGTGATCCCTGTATGTGAGGTTTCGAGAGTCACCAGATTCTAGAGACAAACTAGAAGTGAGGGGCTGGGGGGAGGGAGCAGGGGTTGCCGTGTGGTGGGTGCGGGATTCCAGTTCTGCAAGGGGAACGGCTGGGGACTGGCTGTGGAGCAGCAGGGGTGCTTCCCTGAGTGCGGCAGGTTGGTGCACTTGAAGGTGGTTAAACGATACATTTTAACTTATGTGTATCTTGCCGTAATTTAAATATTACAAATCTCAGAGGGACTAGTGTGGGTAAAACAAAGCAGGTAATCCTCAGTTCCTAGGCCAGTGGATCCCTGCCTTTAACAGTTTGTTTTAGGGGTTAAGGTGCATTTTAACTGTACGAAGCATTTCTCGTCGACACTGACTTGTGGTGGCAAGAAAACCAAGGCCTTATAAAGAGCTGATGAGTGTTCAGAAATAAAACAGGGGCATCGTTATGAAATAAATCCATTATTTGAAGATGTGTCGGTGATTAGCAAGGAGACTAAATAAATCTATGCTAGATTGATGATGTATTCACATTTGCTTTTCAGGTGAAGCCAAAAACCTTCCCACTTACCCGGGGCCAAACAAGATGCGAGACTGTTACTGCACTGTGAACCTGGACCAAGAGGAGGTTTTCAGGACCAAAATCGTGGAGAAATCGCTCTGGTAATGTCTGCTGTTGCTCTACTTGATACGAAGCTCTCTGAGTGGACAGTGTCCCCGACAGGCTGGTCGCTCGGTTTGAGGGAGGGGGCGCGTCGGGCAGTTCCAGCCCAGCGCTCGGGCTTGGTGGCGGCAGCATCCTCTGTTTACTGGTGCGGCAGGAGACGCTCTCTGTCCGAAACGGTAACTGAGCTCACGTGCGCGTATTTGCCTGCTGAGGTGTGGGCAAGGGCTTTCCAGCCTGAGAGGAGCTGGAGAGGGTGCGACCAGAGAGCACAGCCAAGGGTTTCGGGAGGGTGAGTGTCTGGGAAGCTTCTTTCCATCCTGGAGGCAGCTATTCCCAGAGGTAAGAGTATGAAGGAAGCATCTGTTGATGGGATTTGGGGAAGGGGGTCAGTGAGGAAGAGCCACATTTAGTAGGTCTTAAGATTGAGAAGTTTGCTGCATAAGAAACATGTCAGTGCTTCTCAGCTTCAGCCTGTGGGAGACTCACTCAAACAGCGCACTGCCGTGCAGACGCCGGCCCCGGAGTCTCGGGTGGGGCCGTAATTTGCATTTCCCTCAAGCTCGACCTGAACCGCACCCTGGGGTAGGAAGTGAGGGCACCCGACAGTCATAGCGCTCTGCCCGGGGTGAGGGGCAGGCCTCTCTGCAACGTTGGCAGGCGAGTGGGAGGGTGGTTCGAGTCGGGGTGAAGTGCAGGAAGCGGGTGGGGTCTCAGCCAGTGTGTGTCTGACCGTGTGGCAGGTGCAGATGGCGGCCCCGCCCTGTGGCTTGGAGCTGTGGGTTGTGTGGGTCCCTCCAGAGAGCTATTTTGAGTCTGAGAACATTTTTAGCAGATGAATTCTAAGTGGGAGCAAATAGCACATTCTGACAACTGAGTCAACTTAACTTTTAGAGCCTGTCAGGGATCTCCTGCCCCTGACACTTGGAGACGCTCACTGCCCTGCTCCCTCTGCACCTTGCTGCGATGCTGGCAGGGCTGCCTGGGGCCCACCACTAAGTTGTCTGTGTTATTTCCATGCACATTCCAGCCTCCCCGAAGTAACTTGTCAAAGAAAAACCAAAAGACTGAGAAGTTTGTCAGGAGCTGAGTGTGGCTTTGGGGCTGATGGTGAAGGTGTTGCTGTAACTTCAAGGGCCCTTTCCATTTGCTCAGTGGAGGAAAGTCCTTCCTGTATTTAAGGGCCAGAAACCCTTGAACCCAGGACTGCTGCTGGCATCTGTGAGGCCGGTCTCTTGGAGGACCTGCTGGGCGAGGATCTCTGGGCAGGGAGTCTGTTTGGGAGCCTCTGTTTTGGTGACACTGAGAAATGGGGACCATTCCTCAAAATGTTTCATACAAGTTTAGAAACAGAAATCATAGTTTCTGGTTTTGGTGGCCCAGGAAAGAGAGACTGAGAGTGAAACAATAATGACGCCGTAATGCTGTCTCTTCTGGGAAATCAGCCAGAAGCAGGGGCAGCCCCCAAACACTGTCGTAAGAAGCCAGCTGACTCCAGTGAGTGCATGAGGTGACTCTCCCAGCTCGGCAGAGCATCTGAGCCCTTCGTGCTTTCCTTACAGACAGCTTCAATAAGCTTAGTTTTTTTAAAAAGTTAATTTATTAGCTCAATTAATATTTATTGAGTGCTTATCTCATATGCCAGATAAGGAGAGGGTACTGTTAAGCAGAAAGTTAAAACTGACAGCAGAGAAAGAGACAAACCTACACAAAACAGTTACAAGAGCTTAAAAAACGTGGATGTTCATGGCTGTTTATAATTGAGGCAAAACCCTACTCACACTGCAGAGGGCAGGCTGGCTACCCCAGAGCTCGACTCTGCGGTGTGTAAGGGCAAAAGCAGGTAAGCCTGCTTCGTGGGAGAAGTTAGCACGGACTCTTGTGCCTCCACTTGGAGCCAAATACTTGAAACCAAAAACTGACTCTTGTGAGTATGTGCCTGAATCCACACCATGTCTGTGGTCCAAAAGCCCCACCCCACCACATACGTTAGTGCAGTCCTAGATGCATGGTTTGTAACGCCCACGGAGGGTCAGTAGGTCCGTTGAAAGCAAATCCAGTCCTCTCCTTCAATCCAGGTCTTGGGATTTTCCGGGATAGTGTTCCGGGGAACTTGAGCTCAGAGGAGAAAATGCACCAAGGACACAGGAGATAGTGTCACTTGCATTTGCCAAGAGAAACTACAGACCGCAGAATCGGACCTGCAGGCGCCAGGAACAGGGAGTGGGGAACTTAAAGCAATGAGAGACAAGACTGAAAACAGGAGAAAGCAGGAGGAGAAACAATGGAGAATGCCTGAACCATGATGAGAAAGAACTGAATAGAATTCCAGAAGTGAAGTTCAAAAGAATGTAAATGAAAAACTCAGTGGATGAGTTAAATAGCTGGCTAGACTTAGCTGAAGGGAAAATTGGTAAACCAGGAAATGGATTTGAAATATACCCCAGAGACTCAAAGAACAGAAAGTGTGAGAGAAGGTGGAGACTCGGCAGGCAGAGGGATGCGTCATCACACCTCGAGGGAGCTCAAAGGCGAGAGGCCTCTTGTGAGGATGAGAGGTGGTGGTTCGATGCAGCTCACCTTCCCGAGGGCCGTGTCCAGAGGGAGAAGACGGAGGCACAGACTGGCAGCTCCGCTGGCAGCTGCGAGGGTGGAAGGAGGGGACCCACCTGGGAGACGGGAGGACATCACCTCCTGGACCTGCCACCAGCGCGGCCATCGTCCGGGTTCATGGTTGTCCCAAGGGGGTGGCTGCTCCCCTGGCTGTTTTGTGGCCCCGACTTCCCGAGTTGCCCTCCAGCTCAGCATGACCTGTCAGGTCTGGTCGTTTATTTGGCACCATTGCCAACCTGGACTCAGAAGAGCCGGCAGGCCTGACACCGGTCAGCACTGCCCAGAGAGGCTTGTCCTCTATCCGCATGAAGTGCCGGTGTCGCGTGAGAAAGGGGAGGGGACCCGGGGATGGGGCGCTGCTCACCAGTGAGCGGGCACTGCTGGCTTCCGTCTTCCTCTCCCTGTGTCTCTGACGTGGAGTGTGGAGGTGGAGAGGGGGCTCTGCTGCAGATTTCCTGCTGGAATCTCTCTGGGTCCGATGCGTCGGGGAGAACACGGCCTTTGTCCCAGGCCGTCCCTTTCCCTGGAGAGTGATTTGGGGGAACAAAATCTTCCTGATGCTGCAAGTGCCTTAGTTCACATTTAACTCTCTAGAGCTGTAGTTTTTAATCATTTAGAAGGCAAGCCATTATTTTACGTTTATTTAAACTAAAAGGATGTGTGAAATTGGGTTGTCAGGGCCAGGGCTAGGACGCAGCTGCCTGCCTCAGCGCATCTGTTGAGAGCACCCTGGGGTCCCCGGAGGGCCACTTCCTGCCTCTAGAATGGGGAGGGTTGGGGGGTAAAGGCTGCACCTGGAGGAGTCACCATTTTATCCAGTAAAAGGAACATGTTGATATTACAGGCAAAAAAATAAGTAGTTAAAAATAAGAGCTTTTAAGTGCCAGGATGGCCCAACTGTTTACTGGAACATTCCATGAAATAGCAGTTTTTCATTTCCTTTTGTCCATTTAAGCGGTTATTTTGGGGGTGATATCGGCTATCTTTCCCCACAAAGTCCCCACGACACATAGGAAGACGGCTCCTGGCTCCGTGCGGAGCTGCCTGAGGTCGCAGACCTCCCCCGGACCGCTCCCAGCTCTGACTGAGGCTGAGCCCCCGCCCCCAGCCCAGCCTGCACCCACCCCATCCAGCCCGGGAGCCCCTCCCTCCTGCTTCCTCTCAGGGCCTGGGGGGGCTCCTCCTTCCCGCAGGCAGAGCCCTCACGGCCCCTCTGCTGTGGTGGGAACCGTGCTTGCATGTCTGCTGAGCAGTGAAGGCAAGTTCCAAGGTTGTGTTCGCAGTAAGATTCCTTTTTGTTCATGGACTTGGGATGACGCCAAAAGCGGCCTGGAGTGCGTGGACAGAAACGTCAGTGTGGCTGCTTTTTCTGGGTAGTGGGATGGCGGGGGTGCTTTGTTCTTTTGTTTGTATTTTTCCTTTTTTCACGTGAAGGTGGAGGTTAGTAAGAGAACCGTTTCCCCGCCTTGCTTGTCCGCTTGGAAGTGGTTCCAGGGTCTCCCATCCCGTGTTCGCAGCGAGAGCCTTCCTGAAGCGAGGCATACTGCTCAGGAGCAGGGCTGCTGTCCGGGGAGGTGACCAAACCGAGGACGGTCCGCGGGCTCCAGGAGGGAGAAGCATCTGACAGGGACGGGAGGAAGCCTGTGGTTTGGGAGGAAAGACTTCACTTTATCAGATGTTTTTAATGAAAACCAAGTTGCTGACTTGAAAACACCAACTTTGAAACTGAGACTCTACAAATAGTGTCATCTTCCCTGACATTTCTCTTCTCTCTAATTTCTCAAGTTAAAGCTTAAAATCTTTCTGACATAAACATAGGCCTCAGGCCCAGACATTCCACATCATCTGGAGGAGGTGGGTCCTGCCCCACGGTTCCGGGGAGCTCCCTGAGGGGCGGGCCTGCAGCTCAGAGCATCCCCCCACCGCCAACATCTGGCTCCCATCCTCCCTCAGGCCCTAAGTCACAGGGTGCAGAGCTTTTCTCAGAGCTTCCCAGATGCCCAGCTGACCGCGGTGCCCAGGCCCAGGTGTGGCTGGACCCCTGCGGGAAGAGACCACCCTGCAGGGAAGGCTGTGGGTCTGCGTGCAGGATGTCCCAAGTGGGGAGGAACCGAGTCTGCCCTGTCCACCCTCCCTGGTCAGTCCTTGCGGATCAGTGGGCCAGGCAGTGCCTGGCTGTCAGGACGCTGTGGTTAATGGCTTTCCTCTTGGCTCCTCACAAGCTCACGGCCCCGGGGCCCTCCCCAATTTCCTCCCCGCCAGGGCTTTTCTGAAGATTTTGGAGTCCTGCTGGCTTTCCCTAGGAGTCCTTGTTTCAAGTACTTTAAGGAGCATGGCTGGGCCCTAACAGATCAGTGTGGTGGTTTGTAATTTGTTGGTAAGGATA